CTGGCAACCAATGTAGCTGCTCCAATGCTGGTGTGATGTGCTGCCTTGCTGGGATGTGGAGAACCAAACGGGCTTGGATGTGGAGAACCAAACGGGCTGCGATGTTCTGAACACGCTGGATCCAACGTGTTCTGAACATGCTGGAACACGCTGGATTTGTGAGTAGCCCCACAAATATAGTTGTGGCGTAATGTAATAATAATGTATAAATTAAATGAAATTTCTATGAAATTAAAGAATCAAAATGAACATCATATTGTTTTATAGCAGTTTATTCATTATACAGAACATTTTTAAACCATGATCAAACTCTTGTATTTTGTATCTTAATACGAATGACAGTTAAATCTTAGAAACATGAATAACCGGGAAGGAGATTGTACTTTAGCCATTGTGTTACAACAAAGAAAAGTGTGTAGAGAATACTGTGAGTTTGTATAAATGCCTGTGATTGCATACTGTACTGTAAACTAAAACTACACAATATAAATTAAACATCCATTGAGTGATTTTAGAAGAACAACAGCGAAGTCTCCCGTAGTTTTGCCAGTCAAAACTACAAACTGGTTGAGCTGAATTCGAGCAATCATCGATATTTAAAAATGTCAGTGAACCTCATTAGCCACATCAGGGGCGCAGTGGGGGGGGGGGGGGCGAAGCCACTGAATAAAGCACCGCATAGATGACTTGGTCTCTGTCAGTGCATTAATAACTTTTTGGTCAACCATTGTCAATTGCCAATCAAAAGTTGCATATATTGTCTTTTCTTGGATTGGCTGCATCCGTATCGTAGTTTATATCATCCAATGTTACATTCATAGGCTGTAATTGCTGAATTAATTCCATCGTATTCTTCTTGAATTAATTCTGTAGTTTCATTTTTTGAATTGCAAATGAATTGGTTGGTAAAATTGTGTTGACGCGTTTTCCAAACCTCAGTTGCTGAGGAACAAGTGTGGTACAAAACTTGCTCTTATCAAAATGATCTGTTTTTCTAAACGTTTGTTTGTATTGACTCTCGCCAGACTTCCCGTCAGAACCCCATTGACAAATTAGCTTGCATGAAAATGGTTCATTTTCAAGGTTTTCAATAAATTATGTAGTGGTCTCTATTTGTTCCTGGATGATTCTCAGTGCAGTGTGATCGAGAAAGATTTGGCTGAATCCTCATCGACTGCAGATATACCAACAGGATAGCATTGCTTTTTTGCTTCTCTTATTTTGTTGTAAGGAGGGTAGATGTTAGGCCTTTTGCGTTTTGCGCCACATCTCACCGTTTGGTAAGATCGTTTAGTCATGTCTGACTGTACGAAGAGGGACAATGTCTGATCTGCCTTGAAAGATTCCGGTTTGTCTACAGGTTTTGTGATGAGTTTCCTTAGCGTGGTAGGACATGACGGAGTCATCATTGACAATTTTAGCACATACTTCAGATACCGATTGATCTTCAGAAGTTCAATAGGTTCATTTTGTGTCAACATGCTTTTCTCTTTCGCAATCTCTCAGAAAGATTCTCCTATACTTTGATAGGACGTCCCAGTTTGGGTTGTCTTCGGTGTGTGTTCTGCTGAAATGGAAGGAATATCTTGTCCTTTGTTCTGAGTTAAAACATTATAGCTTCATCCGAACAAGTAATGCTGTTGTCAAACTACGAGTTTGTTTTGCACCATCATAAAGCCAAGAATATACTGAAGATGGTGATATAGAAGTTAAAACATGAATCCACATGAATCTAAACTTTCTCCCCTTCTTTTCTAAAAACACAATTCCTAATATTTTTTTCAGTGGTTTAAACAATGATTTATTAGTTCTCCAATTACTGTACAAGAAACGTGTACACATTGAAATGATTCTGAAATTTCTTTAATACAACAATCGTGGTTTAATATAATTTTGTCAATTATAGCATTTAAAATATTTATTAGGCGATTCCCGACCTTCGTAGAAAAATACCACCCTTAAAATTTGTTTAAATGTAAAATATTTTCAGTGTAGATTCTCCAGGGTATACCCTTCTTCACCAAAATGAACTTTTAGCACACTTTTATTTCTCTGTGTGCAATGACAGGAGCTATGAGATGGACCAGTACACCTGGATAACCCCCTCTTCGACTCGAAAGATGTAATGCGTTCTATTTAGTGCACATTAGCCAATTGTGTACACTGGGCCTACGGCTTATATTTTTTATCTAAGAAGTCTTATTTTCTTAACAAAACATAGGTGAACGTGCCGCTCGAACGATATTTTATGGCTATATGTTGCGGTGCCACTACCTTGATCACTCGACCATTTGACTCGTCATCTTAGTTCCGTTGCCTTTTGGTTTAATTGGGTTTATTGTATATTATTATCATTCTTAAACTTTATAAAAATTTTTATGAAAATCTGCTATACAACCTATTGTATGCACATTAATCGTTTGTACTTAGAAAACCGGTTAATTTTTTATTCGCTTTTTGTTCCTTCATCTACAACTTTTCATATAATACCTTGTTGCTTTCAGCACATCTACTCTTTATGGCTGATATTACCTATCTCAATAATACAGTCACCTTACGAACTCCACTGCGTGGACGGAAACTAGCGAAAATATATACACATTTACTAGCCAAAATAACTAAATATTCTCAGAATAAGAAAATTGCGTTTAGCAATTTATAATACTCATTGTGATTATGATTGAAAAATAATACACAAAGAAGCAAGAACATTTACACGAAATCTTTATTGATGGAATATCAATTGTATTTTAGATAGCTAGAAGAAAAAAAACTATTATATAGAATTTTGCGATTTTCACGCGTCCTTAATTTTCGCGATCATCGCTTTATTGCGAAAATAATTAGCTTTACAGTAGCTGATCTTTAAAGTGATAAATTCTGTCATTACTTGAAAATAGTTGTTAAGCAGACTAACGCGGTTTTACCTTTTTCATCAATTAATTTTTTTTTCAACAGGCTGAAGGTGTTGAGAGGTATCATTCTACAAATATTCTTATTGACCCAACTGGTGCACGTGATAGTGCTGCTGAAGATGGTGATGCCCAAGAGGATGATGTTCCATTAGATAATGAATTTCCATTCAAACCAGAAAGTAAGCATCAATACGAAAATACACCGATACAACAATTATATTTATTTGAATTTTTTAAGTCTGTACCATAAGTCTATTTTTTTTCAAATTGCAACTTTCGGTTTATAAATTTTGTTCAATTTAATTTCAATTTAATTTTAATTTTAATTTTATTTCAATTCAATTTCAATTCAATTTCAATTCAATTTCAATTCAATTTCAATTCAATTTCAATTCAATTTCAATTCAATTTGGTAACAAAGCAACGGGTGGATCTATAAATTACAGTATGATTTAATCATCAGTCGTAATGCAAGGAGAAGCAATTGAGTAAATAAGGCCAATAATAATTGCGTTCTGGGTGCCACTCTCGCCCGTGATGTCGATCAGTATAAGGGCACTCCCCAACCCCAGCACAGCGATTGGATGCTAAACGTTACCTTTAAATCAAACTCTTCACGTATATCGATTATCATCATCTACACTATCTATGCACCTTACTATTGCATGATTCGTGTTTTGAACTATTTTTAGCCTGCATTGATGGCACATAGTTTTTTTTTTCCATTTTGGTGCCGTTTCTTTGTTTTCCTTAACAACAAAGAAGCCGCAGTTTCACTGCATAGCTGTTACGTAACTAAACACCAAAATTGCTGTAAGAACTGTCAACTGAGCTGTCAATCGTCGCTGAACACCTACGCTGTAGTACAATCTTTTATTTATCGACAGTGATGTGCGATGGCCGAAAATCATAAAGAGAAACATAAAAAGAAAAAAGGATACGCAGTGGCTGTTGGAATAACGCCTGCAATTTATGATACAAGGCCTGAATGAATGCCAAGCTAATACGGAGGCTATTCCCGGAGCCACCTTTCAGGGGCTGCCAAACATAGAAAGTCAAGGAATACCTAATTACTCTCCCCATGTAGGTTGTACTACGTTAAATAAACCATACAAAGATTGTAACATTTCCGAAGATGAATCCGTTCCTGACAGACTACCTGTAAATATACTAATGCTGCAGGGCCGGCGGAACGTTTTTCAAAGTGGAGGGGGGGGGGCGCTTATAAGATGAATGGGAATATGAATCATGCAGATATGGAATCAAATCTAGGGGGTCCGGGGTCCTTCCCCGGGAAATGTTGATTTCTAGATGGCGGGAAATGACTTTTCTCGACTTTTGAGCTAGGTGTCTAATGACTTTGTTCTTCAAAATTCTTCAAAAGTCTAATGACTTTGTTCTTCAAAATTCAGGGTTTTCCCACTCTTGAAAACGGTCAGGTAAACTTCTCATTCTTATTACAGTAAATAAGCCTGTGCGTAAACATACATAAAAAAAATGAGTAGTTGCGTAGGCCTACGTATTCTTTTTTCAATGAATCGATAAGCTCCAAAGAAAAAAGGGGGTCGGGGGTTCTCCCCTGGGAAAATTTTGATTCCTAGATGGCGGGAAATGAGCTTCTGCGATGAGGTGTCTTAATTACTTTTAAGTTCTTAAAAATTCAAGATTTTTTCCCTTTTGAAAACGATCAGGTAATTTTTCCCATTGCTTTTAGAGTAAATAGGCCTTATGAGTGTATACATACATTAAAAAAAAAAAAAAAAATGAGAAGTTGCATACGATTTTTTTCCCATGAATCGATAAATCCCAAAAAGAAAGGGTGGTCTGGGGGTTCTCCTCCTGCAAAATTTTGATTCCTAGAAGGCGGAAATTAGTTTCCCCGACTTTTGAGGTGTCTTTTTATTACTTTTAAGTTCTTCAAAATTCAAGGATTTCCCCCCTTGAAAATTATTATAATGAATCAATAAACCCAAAGAGAAAAGGGAGGTTCAGGTTTTCCCCGGGAAAATGTTGATTTTTAAATGGTGGGAAATGAGCTTTCCCGACTTCTGAAGCATCTTTTAGCGACTTTTAAGTTCTTCAAAATTCAAGGCTTTCCCCTCTTGAAAGCGGTCAGGTAAATTTCCCCCATTGTTATTACAGTAGATATGCCTTATTTGTGTATACATACATAAACCAAAATTGAGTAGTTGCATACGATTTTTTTTCCATGAGTCGACAAATCCCCCAAAAAAGGGGGTCCGAGGTTCTCCCCCTGGAAAATTTTGATTCCTAGAAGGCGGGAAATGAGCTTCCCGACTTCTAAGTTGTCTTTTAATTACTTTTAAGTTCTTCAAAATTCAAGGTTTTCCCCTCTTGAAAAGTATTATAATGAATCAATGAACCCAAAGAGAAAAGGGAGGTTCGGATTCTCCCCGGGAAAATGTTGATTTCTAAATGGTGGGAAATGAGCTTTCCCGATTTCCAAAGTATCTTTTAGCGATTTTAATTAAAGTTCTTCAAAATTTAAGGTTTCCTCCCTTAAAAACGGTCAGGTAATTTTTTTCCACTTGTTACAGTAAATAAGCCTTTATGTGTGTATACATAGGCCTACATAAAAAGAATTGAGTAGTTGCATACGAATTTTTTTCTTTCATGAATTGATAAATCCTAAAAAGAAAGGGGGTCCTCCCCCGGGAAAATTTTGATTCCTAGGTTGCGGGAAATGAGCTTTTCCGACTTCTGGGGTGTCTTAATTACTTTTAAGTTCTTCAAAATTCAAGGTTTTCCTCTCTTGAAAACGGTCAGGTAATTTTTTCCCATTGCTTTTACAGTAAATAGGCCTTATGTGTGTATACATACATAAAAAAAAACCGAGTAGTTGCATACGATTTTTTCCATGAATCGATAAATACCAAATAGAAAGGGGGTCTGAGGGCTCTTTCCAGGAAAAGTTTGATTCTTAGAAGGCGGAAATTAGTTTTCCCGACTTTAGAGGTGTCTTTTAATTACTTTTTAAGTTCTTCAAAATTCAAGGTTTTCCCCTTCTTGAAAATGATACAATGAATCAATGAACACCAAAGAAAAAGGGGGCCCGGGTTTCCCCGGGAAAAAAATTTCGATTTCTAGATGGCGGGAAATGAAAATTTTTTCTTCAAAATTCAAGGTTTTCCCCGTCAGGTAATTATTTCGCATTTTTTATTTTATGTGTGTATACACATAAACAAATGAGTAGTTGCATGCGTATACTTTTTTCCATGAATCGATAAATCTCATAAAGGATGGTCCGGGGTTCTCCCCCTGGAAAATTGTGATTCCTAGATGGCGGGAAATAAGCTTTTTCGACATTTGAATTGTGTCTTAATGACTTTTATGTTCTTCAAAATTCTAATTTTCTTAAGTGTATAAAAAAAAAAAAAAAAAAAAAAATCAGCTCACGGGTCCTGAAAAAGTAGGTCTAGAATTCTTTCCTCCCTTTTTTTTGGCCCAAGGGAGGGGTCAGGACCGATGACCCCCCTCCCCCAGATCCGCCAATGTGAATTGCGAGAAAATGTAACTCGGTCGGGGACTGGATAAACATTTTCTTTTCCATCCTTCTCCTCCTTCCCTCTTTCTTTTCTTGCATTTCTTTCCGATCATACAAAAATCTCCAGACATTATATATTTTTTGCCAAACAGTGGGGGCCCGCCCCCCAGCCCCCCGGTTCCGCCGGTCATGTACCTGTCTCTTATACACATCTAGATGTGTATAAGAGACAGGTCGTAATGCAAGGAGAAGCAATGAAGCACAAAAAAAATTATATCGATTAAATAAGCCTTTGAAACCCCTAAATTGTTAAAATTTTCGGGGCCTTCGCCCCCTGGACCACTTTCGAAGCCTTTTATTCGAAGCTCGACCACGCCCACATTGCTTTCGTCGGGGAAATCTGACCCCTCGTCGGGGACCTCCCCCCCCCCCACGTCGAGCACAAGTGTGCGGTACAACCTCAAAGGGAGACGACGCTGCCTTGATATCTGAAATTGATAAATTGCGTAGCAATAATAAACATCTTAAAAAAGAATATAAATCAATTAGATGTGATGTCGCCTTTTTGCAAAACATATTGTCCTGTTTGAAAAAGAGAGGCAAGTAAGCTTACTCAAAACCCACTATACTCTGCTGAAAAAGCAAAGAAAGAAGCCAACGAAGAGAAAACAAATTGCTGTCGACAACTTTGAAGTTATACCGGCTTACTCGTCCCATAAACGATCCAGTTCGGAGTCGGAATACAATAACAAGCGATCTTGCGCCGATGTCTCTAGACTCTCAAATGGTCCTATTTCACTATCTACTAAATTTCACAAATCATCTGTTCTAGTACCTTACGAAAGCCTATTAGGGTCACAGAAATATATATTTTTATGTCGTAACTACGACTTATTATGTCGAAATTTCGACATAATAAGTCGTAATTACGACATACGTATGTCGTAATTTCGATGTCGAAATTTGGACATAATAAGTCCTAATTACAACGTACGTATGCCGCCGATTCGTTGCCAGGGTTTAATCCGGCGTTATTTTCACCTTGGATTGACTTATAATGAAATTATTTCAATTCTGCTGTCAAAGCATAATGTATTTATAAGCAAAAGGACTCTAAAACGACGACCTCTTAAAATGGGCCTGTTCAGGCAAAAAACCCCACTCAGACCTGTTGGATATAGCTTGTTTTATTGAGAATGAGCTTCAAACGTCAGGGCATTTAGATTTACTATTATTATCCTATTATTAATAAATACACAGAAAAGGTAAAAGTTACCAATCAGGCTAGCTGCTGGTCGACGAAAGCCTCTCTAGGCATCTGGTCATTAATGTTGTCAGTCCTACTTAACTTTCATTACGCGACATGCATAGATCTATAGTGGCCCAAGCCTATGTCGTAATTACGACATAAATATGTCGAAATTACAACATACGTATGTCGTAATTACGACTTATTATGTCGAAATTTTGACATACGTATGTCGTAATTACGACTTATTATGTCGAAATTTCAACTTACGTATGTCGAAATTTCGACATAATATGTCGAAATTACGACATACGTATGTCGTAATTACGACTTATTATGTCGAAATTTCGACTTACGTATGTCATAAATACGACTTATTATGTCGAAATTTCAACATACGTATGTCGAAATTACGACATAATATGTCGAAATTGCGACATAATATGTCGTAATTACGACATACGTAAGTCGAAATTTCGACATAATAAGTCGTAATTACGACATACGTCTGTCGAAATTTCGACATAATAAGTCGTAATTACGACATAAAAATATATATTTATTAGGTACCCTGGCAAATATTAACAACAAACGACTCGTTCCACTGCTGAAGTTGCAACGGTACAAGGTTTCATAACCCAGGAAATTAAGAATAAACTTTAATCAAATGAGCAGGGCCCTGCTTGTCTGTTCATTCACGAAATCACAAACTCTATCAAGATCATGGGTATCATTTGTTGGATGAGGGCTTTTTCGTTAGTAACCTCTAGTACCGAATTGAGTATGTTGTAGCAAAGAGTATCTTTGGTTTTAGGCTTGAAAGGTCGAAAGTCATACCGTCGTTAATTTTAAAGGTACTTTCGTCAACATGACAACTCATTTCATCTATTTTATCGTAATTAGATAATCGATTGTATTTTTAATCGACAATTTCTATAATTTTTGTAATTCGCCTTCAATTTCAATTTTAATGTACTTAAAATTTGTGAATGGAGCATCGATGGACATTATGTTTTGAGGAATGTCAATAAATGAAAGTTGTATTGAAATGTTTATGGGCCTAGTCGTACCTTTGGAGATTATAGGCTTATCTATGTAGCTGTTGTGAATTCCAACTGTCCACTACTAGACAATGTACCAACAGCTTCATATAAGGCCTTTAACAAATGTTTGTTTTTTTTTGTTTTACCATTTAGGGACAGGCATGTGGCAATATTTTCTTCGCTTCCCTGAAAACTACACAGTAATACAGTCAGTAACACAAAATATGGCTCTTGGCACTTGTGATTTGTGGCTGAATAACGAAATCATGACTATTATTTACATAAAGAATGGTTCATAAATTCATCAGACCAAAAAACAAAAACACCCCACCCCTTTATTTCGTATTTTAGGGGGCAGCAGTGAAGGCTAACATTATGATATGTTGATTAACATTGGTGTAACATGGCTATTGTTGTTTTCAGTAGTTATAATAATAATAAAATAATGTTATTTTCATCTGTCGTTTAGCTTTCAAAGATCGTGCTAATAAACTTCAGACGGACACTATCGATATACGAGTCTCCGACTTGAATGCCATTGCAGGAACGGAGCAATGCTATGTCACGTTTTTTGGTAAGTCATATTTTCTGTTAGGTTTCTGAATAAAGTTTACTTTGACACATGTGTTATTACATCCTCAGTTTTATTAATAATTTTACTACAATATATCAATGTATCTAATCATCGGCTTAAATTTTTAAGGCAATATAAAATAAAAATCTAATAACATGAGTAATTTATGTATATGATGGCATTTGTGAAATGTAATGTTGTTTTATATAGCACTTTTTACCTTCTCAAAGTACTCAATGTGTGAACACTCTCGTACAGTGACATCATTCTACTCTAAAATTCACCTCGTGAATGAGCTACCCGTAAACTGATACTAGCTACTTTCGTTTGTCCACAACAAGGGCTGTGTAGACCAGTACAACGGAATAATCGCAATAGTTTTACAGATTAGAACATCAGTAATGTAAAACATAATGCGCTTATTTCGATTTACATTGATCATGCATTAAATGTCTCAATTAAATTGAAAAATTTGGCTTTAATCGTAAAAATAATTTAATTTCATAAGTATATATATTTTTTATGGGAGAAATGTTCACATTTCTGGAATATACATATACTGTCTCTTATACACATCTAGATGTGTATAAGAGACAGGTTCTAGTACCTTACGAAAGCTTCCACAGTCTTTGATTTTTTATATAAATTTACATTATTTCGTCTTTTTTGTTTTCTTTTTAGTTTATAATATACATATGCCGTGTCTATATTCATGAATTTCACTATACACAATTACTGTATGTTTGTTATAATATAAAGGAATGTTAAAGGAAAAATTAATTGAATTACTTTTTTCTATCTTTGTTTCTTTCTGTTCATTTATAACAATAAATTTCCACTATTTTTTCTTTATTTTTTTAAGTACATAAAATATGGCCTTGTATCGTTTCTTACTTTCCTTTTCCTTGTTCTATATTAGTATATCTATCAACCTTCATTCTCAAAGTAATGTCATACTTAAATTAATTCTATATAAATGTAGACATTGTCTTACCTAAATCTGACAAAATGTTATTTATAATAAATACGGAGGCCGCAGGAAGTGTAGTCTACTACTACATCTCGTGTTTCTATTATGAGGTTTTTAAAAGAAACATTGTGGTGTCCAATATCATTTATGACACCACAACCTTTTGTCCATAAGGTCTGAATATACATACAACTAAATAAAATGTGTTTTTCATCTTCTACCTCTCCAAATGTTTACTGCATGTGTCATTTTCCTTTAATTTCCATATATAAATCATTTCGTTTGTCAGCAATATTCTATGTAAGATCTTGTACAGTAGTTCTGTCTTTCATTTTACATACATTTTGTAGCCAACATGACTTTCAATCAGTATTTTCATACTATTGGGTCACTTTCCTTTCTTTTTGCTTTTTTATCTTTCCTTTTCTTTTCCTACCTTAGTGTATTTTAAAGTTATCTTTTTTTACCTTTCCTGTGTGTTTCTTTCTCTTATCTTTCTTCTCTTTTTTCTTATTTTCTCCCTTATTTTTTCCCTTTTCTTTCTTGTAATACCTTATCTTTTCTAATCTTACCTTTTCTTTCCTTTTCGTTTTTACAATTATTTCTTTTCCTTACATTCTTTTACAATTTCGTAGGTTTCCTTGACTATTTTGTTCTTTTCTTTCTTATGTTTCGTTCTTTCCCTTTTCTTTCTTATATTTTGTTTTCTTTCTCAAACTCTTTTTATGGTTTTCTTGACCTGTCTTTCCTTTCCTTATTTTTCTTTCTTTTCTTTCATTTCTTTTCATTTCCTAGTTTATCTTACATTTTCAAAACTAAAGAACTTATAATTCTTTCTTTTCTTTTTTCTTTTTTTTTTTGTCCTTGCCTCTTTCCTGTTCCAATTTCATTTTTTTATTCCCTCTTACATTTTCTTTCTTTCCAGTCTAATTCATTTTAATTCCTTACTTCATTAAAAACAGCAATGTAAAAAATACCTTGGTAACAGTATGTCAGAGGCTAATGATGTCTATTGAAGCTGCCCTTGATGTGCTGACTTATTTACTCACCTGAGAACTTAACTGCAATATCAAGAATCGAGGGTGCTTTTGTTCTATCTTTGGTGACATTAAATGCCAACATTTTACAAGGATGATTATTTTCGCGCCTGAAGATGTGTGAGCACCACTTCATTTGTTGATCCTGATAGACGTTCGTCATTGATGAGGTCTTGGTTACCAAGTATAGCTGCTTGTCGTTACTTCGGCTGAACCCCCATTCGATTGAAATATTGTCATTGGATGAGCCGAATGAAGAGCGGAGTTTTTCCTTTTGAAGCCGTATTATACCATGTTCCTTAGAAAGAGCTATAGGTTGATTAAATTTATTTGTATTTCATTTTGAGCCAGGACTAAGTAAGTTAGAGAGGAATATTCGGGTTGGTGAGCATCTGGCGATGTTTGGCCAAGGTGATTCGTGGGCTTGATATATACGATTATGTATGTTGTCACAGGTATTCCATGCACACAAGTATTTAAGCCGTCAACAACTAGCAAACCAATCATTTGTTTGATGAAGATCTGTTGATAACGGATCGAAACATTACAAACAGTATTTATTAGTTTAATTGTATGAATTATTCCATGTCCTTAGTGCAGCAGTTTTTTTTTAATTGTAATGAAACTCTCTGGTAGTGAACCATCAAGGTTTTCATCCAAGTTCCACACTATGGTTTCAATGTTTAGCTCATTAATGTATATTATTGGCGTAAGGCCAGAGGATGGAAATTTACTTCGTTGTGGTCCGCTGCTAGAGGAATAACATATCGTATAGACAGTTTCTCTGCGTATGTGATTTATAATCTATGCTTCCATATCCTTATTGCATAGTCTGTGTAGAGACAAAATACAGAAGAATTTATTTACGTGATCCAGTGCAGCAGATAAATCGATGTAGCATGTATAACATGTGTTTAGATCAATAAGCTACCGTACCTCTTGCTTCATCAAGAATATTCCATAATTTCGGACGTTTTAAACTCTAAAGTCAAACTTAGTGTTGGAAAGTTGTTGCCCATAAATAGAGTTAATCTGCGAAGTGTTATATTAATACCATGAACCTATTATAAGAGCCTATGAGGATAGATATAGCTCTGTATTGTTTTTGATCCTTATCCTCTTCATTTTCTTTTTAATATAGGCCTAATTGCCACTGAGAGAGCGTTTTTGATTCATTCCAAATTTCTTTGAAGTATTTTTATCTCTGGTGAGGAGCTCTAGGAACACTCGGCTGATTGATTAATAGATCTTTTCGGCTGATTGATTTATAGATTTTTTTGTATGGCGGCCGTTAGGGCCAATATACTCTGCTGCATCTATTATACTGCCCTCATCGGAGCATTTGAAATTACGAACTTGTTTTCACTTCATTTGTGACAGTTTTCAGTAAGTCTTATAATAAACTATATTAACACAATAATTAATGTGTAAATATTGCTTAATATTTTCTTATTTGTTAGCATGCTTTTGTAAGTATAATATTTGTGAAACATGAAACATATGTTTGTGGGGTTATGATTAGCTTTTATTTATTTTATTATTTTCGTATTTATACGTCCTACTTTAAAATCTAAAATATATTTTCATGTGCATTAATACATTGGATATTGCTGCATATATAACCAAAATATTCTCAATGTTAATTTGGTAATAATGTATATTTACATTACATCTTATTAACGCTATTTTTGTTAAACCATAAATACGTATTTAGAATGTAATTCCACATCTAAATAACGTTGAAATTGTGTGACATACCTAACCACAACGTTTGCAAACGTTATAAAAAAAAAACGTTGTGTTTGCTTGGATTGTACTTATTTTTCAGAACAGTCGACATTTTACATTGCTTTTGCTTAAGTGCAAAAAGCTCTAATTTACCTTTCAACAACAAAAAATAAATAGAGACTTTGTATGTTATAAAAATATTATAATATTAATAATTTTATATACAATATCATATTTAAGAGTAAAACAGAATAAATATGTGTAAAATGTGTTTTTGTTTTATTAATGTGTTTTAATAACAAAATAAGTTTCATTTTAAAAATTATATTTCTTATTGTTAGTCTTCAATATTGTAATTACAAGATTGCAAATTAACCTAAATTGATACGTGGCAATTCATGGGTAAACTTATACGCACTTATACTAATGTATTAGCACTCGTTGCTTGTAGTCAAAATAATATACAATGTCACGTAACCAACAATCATTAATCAGGGAGCAGTTATGTTTTAGCCATTGGAGTGAAAAAGTATATATTTACATGGGAGATTATGTATTCTTTATTTTATTCTTTATATTATCTTATATATTTCAGGTGATATAATGACCCCAACCGTCAGTTCAGTGATCAATGGTTTAAATCCTGGGTCATTGATTGGAAAACCAATGGGATGTGGTGAACAGACTATGATGTATATGTCAGCCAACGTTTACACAATGCTTTATCTAAGCAAAACTAATCAAATCACAAATGATATTGAGGTGAACGGTTTTGAAAACGTCAAAAGAAGTAGGTACAGGGCGTAATGATGATGATGATGATGATGATGATGATGATGATGATGATGATGATGATGATATTATGAATGCCTTATGTGTCAAAGTAGAGAATATTTTTTAAGATCACTCTGTTTTTCTATTAGGGCTGCTTAATGTATTATAAATGTACTAATGTGAGCTTTCGGACAACACTAGTCCTTCCTCATATTCCTCGTTTAGTGTACTATAAGATCTCTCTTAATAATCATTGATTTTAAAAGGTATGGAGGTTTTAAGTAAAAGTTCCCAGTGATTTTCTTTATCCTTACGATATTTGTGTCTCCAATTAGCATTATAGTGTGCCTTGGAATAGCACGCTAGATAGATGGCGCATTACAAGTGCTGTTTTATTGCTGCAGCTGCTGCTGCTGTTGTTCTTCTTGTTGTTGTTCGATTGCAATAACTCTGAAATGTGCAACTGAGAGACCGGCTGAATTGAAATCTTCGGCTACTGGTTGGTCAAGCTTATATGATTTGATAGCTGATCTATGTAGTGTCATTCTCATATGAAAGGTGTTTTTGTTTCCCCGACATATTTTTTACCACAAATATTACAATATATGAGACAAATGACATTTTTAGTGAAGCAATTAATTGATTGCCATATCCAAAATTATGTGGTTTGTTTGCTCTTGGACGATTGTGTAGAATCGCAAAAAGCACGATTTGCATGATGAAACAAAAAGATAACTGTCCAAATTATGGCTATGGACTATGAACGTTGTATTCGTAACTATACACACACACACACACACACACACACACACGCACACACACAC